TTCTTAACACAAAATATGAAATAAATATTGACATTATATTATACAAAATTATATCAGAAAGAAAAAATATTGAAGAAAATTACAATACCAGGAAAATTCCAACATCATCATAATGATAAATTTTTAATAAAGAATTCGAAAAAAGGAAAAACAGAAAATGAAGAAGTAAACGCGTGAAGATTTTCGGACCATTTTTTTTTTTTTTTTTAATTACAAAATATGACAAAATATTCTGACCAGATCTTAAATATGAATTTATATACAAACATGTAAAAACATGTGTATGTGTCCTATATATATATATATACATGTGCGTAATGCGACACTGAAAGCTTTATATTAGTCGTTATACTGCCTGCGGCTAGAAACTGGACAGAGCTGGGGCAATCTCGTTGTTGTTTACACAGCCGGAAACAACACACGATTAATACCAAAGTTAATATACCACGTGAGCCTAGATTAGCCTATAGCGCCATACAATTTAAAAATAGAAAAACTTTTTATATCAATTAATGCACAATGCTACAATTTCGAAAAAAAATTAATATCCACTAAAAGCAAAATTTTTAAAAAATTACTGATTCAAATTTATTAATTTATTAATTTAATTTTTAATTAATTATTATTATTTATTTATAAATTATTTATTTATTTATTTATTTACAAGTATTATTTATATTTTTCTCCATTTAAAAAGTCTCAAGGACCATGTTTTTTATTTATCTCAAGACTTTTATAAAAAAATATTTTTCCTAATAAACTGTGCCACATTTTAATTGCTGTATACAGTTTTTTTTTTATTTCGATTTTTTCTAAAATACTTTATTAAATAAATATATATTTTCTGTGTTTTTTACGAGACGACCTACCTAATACGAAAATCAGAAAAAAAAGTGTAAACACTTATCCACTTATCGTACAACAAAAAAGTAATAAAGATCGAAAAGGATATATCAAGTGCGAAAATTACAATATACAACAGACAATACAAAAATTTAAATAGAGAAGAGAAAAACGATATATTAAAAACAAAAAATCAAATATGAGAAAAAATAAAGCAAACCTTTCGCTCATGACAAGATGACGATGGTCTTTATATATATAAAATCTTTTGGAATGTAATTGTCCTTAAATGATTATTCAGAGATGAGCATTTAACCTATAGGTTAGAACCTCGTATAACCTTTATTTTTTTTTCTCCTTCTTCTCCTTCTCGTAATAAAAATTATAATAATTTATAAGATCACTCGATGAAGACTCTATGACCCACATTATGACGCGTTAAAAATAAATTTCCGTTTCGAAAAATAATCCATCAATTCTAATTTTAGCAATTCTGTTTTTTTTACAAGAAAAATAAAATTTATTATTTAAAAAAAAAAGAAAACAATAATACCCATATGGACCATTATCGTTCGAAATTTATCTATATATATATATGTGACGTTATAGAGAGAATTATATTCATTTTCATTTGAATTGAGACTAGAATGAATCTTGTATAACATAATACAATGTGTATTCAGTTTCACTGGATCGTTCTAAATTTAAATAGAAATTCTGCGAATCTATTATCTAGAATGGTAAGCAATTTTATTGTACCACATATATTTACAATAATATCGCCCCCACTGATTCACAATACATAATGGAAAAAAATAATATTGAAAAAAATTTATTTCATTCAAATAATCGACTATTATCAAAAAAATAATATATCGAAAAATAAATTATTCATTCAAATACAAAAATTCAACAAAAATTATAATTTATAAAAAATCGATCCCAATTATAGGTTTTTTTTTACAATAATAAACTTTCCCTGTTTCTTAATTTTGTATATATAATTTTTTTTAAACACATATTCCGTGTTTATTCATTATATCACTGAGGAGTAAAATTTCAATGGAACTCGATTGAAAACAAATATAAAGTGAGAATGAGAATTGCACTCGAAACACATCATATCGTTCGTTTGAAAACAAATGAACGGACAAGGTGCACAAATGATGGGGAGCAGATGGTGAATTATCGCATCCTCACGTGCACATCATTTTTTTTTTTTCAACCTTCAAAGCCATTTCAATTTCTATTGAAAAACTGAATAGAATTTTGTTGATAATGTCAGATACAGATGGGGAGAGGAGGGGGGGGGGGGGGGGAATAGAGAAATAATTGTGTTCAAAAACAACATGATTCGTGTGTTCAAAAAAACAAACCCACAAACATGTGAAACTAATGATCATATATAGGAGCAGGTGAGAAATTATCACAACGTTTTTATACGCACAATATACAATTTCAAAAATAAATATATCTCTTACATAAAGTAAGTGAAAAAAAGAAAATAAGTGATAGTAAAAAAGGTCTAATTATCCTTAAGTGAAAAAATTCATTAAATATTATCTAATGATTGAGCGTCATTACTGTTACCTGCATTTGTAGAACATGTGACGGGGAAAAAAAAAATGTGTTTTTAGAAAAAAAAGAACGGAAACGAAAATTGATAACAAAAATTTATTACTTGGGGAAAATGGTAAAAAAAAAAATAAATTTTTGTTAAAGCACTGGTAATTTTGAAAAAAAAAATTTCAATCGAATTAAGAAAAAAAACTGATTAAATATTTAACGTAATTGAATAAATATTCAATTATACGTCAAATATTTTCTTCAAAAAGGGTTTTTTAATACCAAATCTATAAATCAAACTTAAATTTCAAAATATGAAAATTATTTTCTTTTAATAAAAAGAAATAGGAATTTTATAAACAACTGATTGATAAGAATGTTATCAACAGGTTTCACATATATATACATGAAATAGGTAGGTACATAAAGCATATTTTTCAAATTTTGATAAAAGATAGTTTTTTTTTAGTATTATATAGTTGCCGACAAAAACAAACTCATTAGTCAACACTAACGATAAAATTTTGTTTAATTTTTATTATAATGTAATTCCTTTTTTTTGAAAACTCAATTATTTTTATTTTCACCAATTTTCAATTTTTCAACAAATTAAAAAAATGAAATTAAGAAAACAAAAATACGGTTTGAACTAAAAAAAAAAAACTTAAAATTGTCCAACAAATTTAAAAAAAGGTTTTAAATTTTAGTTGTAAGAAAAAAATTCAAAAAAATACAGCTGAAAAAATGTATTTGATTCAAATACTTGATTATTTGACTATTATCAAATAAATATTTATTTGTAACAAATAATTATTATTTAAGTAAATTAAATGTTATTTGTTTCAAATACAAAAAAATTATTGGTTCAAATACAATTTATTTACTCTCTAAATTTGAATTAGTAAAAATGTTTACTAATTTGAATTGGTGACTCACTTTTTGCTTCTGAATTAGTAAAATTTTATTAATTATTAGTAACTTTGACTAACAATTAGTAAAGTTTAACTAATTATTAGTAACTTTGACGAACAATTAGTGAAATTTAAGTAATTATTAGTAACTTTGACTAAAAATTAGTAACATTTAACTAATAATTAGTAACTTTGACTAACAATTAATAAAATTTAACTAATTATTAGTAACTTTTACTAACAATTAGTAAAATTTAACTAATTATTAGTAACTTTTACTAACAATTAGTAATTAACTAATTATTAGTAAGTATTAGTATTAGTAAGTAAGTAATTAACTAATTATTAGTTAACTAATTATTAGTAACTTTTACTAACAATTAGTAAAATTTAACTAATTATTAGTAACTTTTACTAACAATTAGTAAAATTTAACTAATTATTAGTAACTTTTACTAACATTTAGTAAAATTTAACTAATTATTAGTAACTTTTACTAACAATTAGTAAAATTTAACTAATTATTAGTAACTTTGATTAACAATTAGTAAAATTTAACTAATTATTAGTAACTTTGACTAACAATTAGTAAAATTTAACTAATTCTAAAAAGTGAGTCACTAAATTAAATTAGTAAACATTTTTACTAATTCAAATTTAGAGAGTAATTCAAATAAAAATTATTTGGTTCAAGTAAATATTTATTTGATAACAGTCAATTAATCAAGTATTTGAATCAAAAAAACAAATTTTTTCTGTGTAAATAAACTAAAATCAATGTTTATATACTAATTTTCGAAAAATTATCAACAAAATTTCATTCCAGTTTCTGAATTTCTAAACAGGGTGTCTACTAAAAATCTGAATTAAAATTCCAGGACTTTTTCAGGACTTTCCAGGACAAATTTCTTATTTTTCCAGGACATTAAATTGAATGACCTTAAGGAATAAAAAAATTTTTAGTTTAACTATTGTTTTCAGAAATTATCAAAAAAGTAATTAATCACTTAAGTAAATTTTCATTTTACTTATTTCATGAATTTTTTTTAACTTGATTGACAAAATTATAAATTTTTGAAAATTTAAAAGCAAAATATAAAAAATTCAAGGACAAAAATTAAAATTCCAGGACTTTCAAGGACATTCCAGGACATTTTTTCAAATTCCAGGACATTTCCAGGACTTCCAGGACTAGTAGATACCCTGCTAAATTTCTTTCCCTGAATTTTTTAATTAAAATTCAAACATTTTTCAACCAAATTCTTTCAACCAGTGAAACACAAAAATAGAGAATTCCTATTGAAAATAAAAAAATCTTTCACACAGACAGAAAAATATTATCTTCTAATAAATATTTGTCAAAGAAATAGAAAATCCCAAAAGCACTGATATAAGAAACAAAAAAAAAAGATTTTGCGAAAAAGAACCAAAAAATAAGAAAACTACTATTGTGAAGAAATCGAAAACAATATATATATATAACGTGAACGATGGGCTTTTGGACAAAATATTTGTATCCTCCAATAGAGCCCTTGTACTCTGATAAGTATTATACAAGCGTTCACGAATCAATGTGCAAAACACATAAGCACATGCATGTTTAAATTATCAACCATGTGTTAGTGTATAAATGGAAGCAAGGGGATATAAAATATTCCAATATACTGAAAGTATACTCACGGTGGTGCGTGGAGTAATTGTTGTTGTTCGACAAGAGTCTGTAATCCATGTTGGCGGCTCTCAAATCGTCACGTTCACTCTGATTCACTCATGAAAATGTCCCGTTGAATAGAGTTTTGTTATATTGAGATTTGTTTCAATTTTCAACCAAATGACCGTCGCACAAAAAAAATGTTTGATTCTCAACGATCAATTAATCACAACGATCGATGAACTTGTTTTTTTTTTTTTTTTTTAACGATCAACTACCACGAAAATGTGAGAACACCTATTTTTTATTATATGCAAAATTAACATACCAAAATGGCTTCTCAAAAAATTTTCTAATTCAATAATTGAGAACAAAAAATATTCTCTCCGAGGAAAATAAAAAGGAAAGTCCACTTTTTTTATATTATAGATAAAATTTCGACTGTTTCACGATTAAAATATAATTCTTCGAAAGATGGGGATTTAAGATTGTGACATAAATCTTCAATGTTGATAAATATTAGATGACGCGAAATTCAGCTGAACTTACCGTGATGAGATCCAGCTGGCTCTCGCATTATAATTTACTGGTAACTAAACACGACAAATGAGTAATTCAATGATGTTAAAAGATGAGATTGAGACACAAATTTATAATATACAATAAAAATGATTTTTCAAAAATCAAAAAAAAATTTTCTTAAATTTTTATTTCAATTTTATTTAAAACAAATATTTGAGATAAATTTTTTTGTTTTTCTATTCTTTATACCAACAAATTGTATAATGGCTAATACAATTTACTTTGCACAGAGAATAGATAAAATTTATATGAAATCAAACAATATAACTTGGTTAATCCATCTGTCAATTATATTATCATTAAACTTTGTTGTGTTTGGGGGGAAAAAAAATCAATGACCCCACATTAACGACGTAAATATACAAGGATTACTTCATGAATTGAAATAAATTATTCATGTTGTGTTCTGCTCTGTCCTACTTTACTCAATTACCTTCCTACTACCAAATTGTATATGTTTTTGTAACAAGAAATTCTTTTCCAGTTTGTATTACCGAAAAAAACAAATTTTTCGAAATTATCAAAAAAAAAAAGTTTCTTTTTGAGTGAAAAAAATTTGTTTAACGAAAAAATAATTCGAGGAAAAAATTCAGGAAAGGACCTCAAAAAACAAGCGGAGGCGTTCTTGTTACGTCGCGAATGAACAAGATCTCGTTCGCGCGAGAAAAGGCGTTCCAAAAGAGATGAAAAAAAAATAAGAAGAAGAAGAAGAAGAAGAAGAAGAAGAAGAAGAAGAGGATGAGAAAAGATATACACGCAGGGTAAGAAAAGAGGAGAGAAGTTCCCCGTTTACAAGACTCTGGTTTCCTGACTGCAAACGACCACCGGCAAAACTTGCTCTTAGTCGCTTAATCGGACCCGTTCAAAATTCTTCTCAGAAAGAAGAATCTCCGAATGAAAAATAAATCGCGTAAACACACACACACAAACACATATTTGTTGACAGAGTAAAAGCCGAACGACCAAGAAACACAAATCAGATAATTATTCGATTCCTCTTTCTCTTTAATTAAAAGAAACCTCTATATAAAATGCATTTCAATTTATATACAAAAATCTAAATTGTATAATTATTTCCTCTTAAAAAAAAAATTAGATTTTAAAAATTCCCAAAATATATAAACAATTTTTTCAAGTATTACACTGAAAAAAAATTGATTCTTAAATTGATTACACAGGCCAACAAAATTAGCAAACTTTTTTGTTGCGGCTAATGTCAGACCTGTTTCTGCATTCAAAAAAATAAGTAGTAGATTTGACTACTTTTTAACTACCCTGTATAGTACAATAGGTCCTCAACTCAATTTTAAAAGTTGTATTAACTACTAAAAAGTAGTTAAAATAACTAAGAATGTAGTTGATATAATAAGATTTTGTAGTTAGTTTTAAATTCTAACTACATTTTTAAGTTAATTGTACTACTAATTTTTAACTTCTTAAGAAATAATGAAATTAACTACACAAACATTGTTAAACTAACTAAGAAAGTAATTGTTTTAACTTCTTTTCACTCAACTACCAAAAGGTAGTTGAAGATTTCGGATAAATTTTTTTCAGTGTGATAGGTTTTTTCATGCCGAACACGAATCCGTAAACGAAAAGTTCCTATCAGCTCTAGTTTTTGAGAAAAACGGGTTTAAAATGTTCAAAAATCTCGTTTTTTGCTAACTTTTAGTATCTCTAACACTAAAACAAAAGCAGGTCGTAGAACCTTCCACTTGGGCTTAATTTGAAGCTTAATGTTTTAACTATTATCCCCAAAAATGACCTATCTTGCACCATAACCTCAAAGTCATTTGTTATCCATTTTTGATTCCCAAATATTAATTTTGTAAAAGTTTGAGCACGTACATCTAGTCCTTGAGGTTAAGGTGCAGCAATGTAATTTTTATGAACTACAGTCAAGGGATAAATTGAATTGAAGCTCAACAAGAAGGTTGACCTTTGATTTTATTGACTAGAGTTATTCAAATATTACCAAATAAGTTCTGTAGTTAAATACTAGTTACCAAAAATTTTGAGGTCATTAGTGAATAATATAATTTTTAGGGCTTGTAGTCTAAAGTTCAAACTTTATTTTAAGTTCAAATAAAAGGTTCTATGATCCTTTTTTCTTTTCTAGAGGTACGCGCTCAAACTTTTACAAAATTAATATTTGCGAATCAAAAATAATAACAAATGACTTTAAGATTATGATGCAACATAGGTCATTTTTGGGGATAATAGTTGAAACATTAAGCCTCAATTTAAGCCCAAGTGGAAGGTTCTGCGACCTTTTATTTCAGTGCTAGAGGTAATCAAAGTTAGCCAAAAACGCGATTTTTGAACATTATTTAAAACCCGTTTTTCTCAAAAACTAGAGCTGATAGGAACTTTTCGTTTACGGATTTGTGTTCAGCATGAAAAAACATATATCAAAAACAGATCTGACATTTGCCGCACCAAAATCAGTGTTGGCCTGTGTTATTATTAAATAAATATTTACTTAAATCAAATAATTTTTGAGTCAATTAAATTGTATTTGTTTTAAATACAGAAATTATTTATTCAAATACAGTTTATTTAATTCAATTATTGATTTCAAAAATTATTTGCTAAATATTTATTTAATAAAGAAACCAATTATTTGAATCTAATAAATTTTTTTTTCAGTGTAATTGAACCGAGCAAAAAAAAAACACATTTTAAACAAAAAAACCGTAACTTTAAAAAACCCTGTTTTAAAGGTTCGCGTAAAAAAACAAAAAATAAGATAAAAAATATTTTTTTTCTATGAAAAAATAGTGTCATTTAGAGAGGAATTAATTAATTAAATTAATGTTTCTTCTTATTTTGAGATTCCATTTTTTCCGTGTATATTTTATTCTGAGAATACTTTCTTAAAAAGAAAGAATTTCTTAAGAAAACGTATACATAAGATTTAAGAAGATTAAACAAACTACAAGATTAAAATAGAATCATATTCTTAATTTAAGAATATCGTTTCCAAAATCAAGAGTATTGATATTATATGCATTATGATCCAAAAAAAAAATGAAATTCCGTCATTTTTTTTTTCCTAAACGTGAAATAGTAATAACTAGAGTGTACAAGAAACATCAAAGGGTTCGGAGCTTAATTGAGAGTTACAGAAGTTATATATAGGAACCAAAGGGATGCTGCATCAGAAAGAGCCTACAAACGAAACTATATGGATTCCTTCTTCAAAAGAGAGGATTTGCAAACCCCCCCCCCAAAAAAAAAACCAATTTTAATTTTCAAACAAACCAATTAGTTGTTTGATAATGTATATAATATTTTTCCAAAGTATTGTAACACGTCAATCAATTTGTCTCATCACGATGAATTTTTTTGGAAAATTAATTTTTAAATATTTTTTTTATTATTTTTAATGATTTTTAATGAGATACTAATATAGAAAATTGTTTGGAAATTAAAATTCCTGTTTGGGAAAAAAGTTTTTTTTTTCCCCCCGATTAAAAGAGAGCAATTGCTCGTGATCTCAAAACTACTTGACACAAGTCTCCCACGCTATAAACGCAACTTTAATACGATATGCCAATCACAAGGCAATCAGAGATCACTCACACTGGCATAAAATTATCCCAATCTATATATATAAATCTCTGTTTTATATATATATATATATATATATATATACAACAGAGATTCGCACTCTCTACATTGCGTCGCGTCGTGTCACCTCGCGTGTTGATAATGACAAAGCAATTCCTGTTAGTATAACACACATAACGAAATTTTGCTGAATTGAAACGATACAATTTCATTACATAGTTTTAACCTGCTTTCGTAGAAAATATTCTTAAATTTAGAATATAAGTAATATTATTTTTAGAAGGTAAGAAAAACTAAATTAAAGAATAAATTACACACACGGAAAAAAAAATCTTTATCTGGAACAGCGATAAGTTTCACTGGTACACCGATATGTTTCACTAAAATAACGAAAGTTTTAGCTATTCTAGAGAAACATATCGTTGTTCCAGATAAAAATTTTTTTTTCGTGCATTAATATATTCCAAAAATAAATGCCAACATCGAAAAAACATAAATCTAAATTTAAGAATATTTTCCTGGCCCCCATTATATATAACAAGTATTTTATTCTTACACGGAAAAAAAATATTTCCCTGAAACAGGGAAAGGTTTCACTAGAATAGCGAAAAATTTAACTGACAAGTAAAACTTTTGCTATTATAATGAAACGATTCGCTGTTCCATGAAAACCTTTTTTTCCGCGTACTGTTAGAATATAATAGTCTTAAAATAAAATTCTTAAATTAAAAAATATTCTTCTTTGAAGAATATTATTTTTATTTTAAATTACATTCTAACTGTAAGAATTGAAAATTAAGAAAATATTCTTAAATTTAGATTTTCAGTGAAGAATTTCCCCTTAATTTTTAAAATATAATTTTTCCAATCTACAAAATGTCGAGTGTACATTATAAAACAATTTTTGTAATATTCTATATTAGGAAATATTTCTCATCAAATATTCAAGTTAATTAAAAAAAAAACTATTTTAAATTTGTATTTTTTTTCAGATTGAAATAAAAATATGTTTCACTGTGAGTGTCAGACAATACTGTTCAATCGACCTGTGTCTTACCTGGTAACCTTTAACATGGCTTTCTATCTATACAGTCAAGAAAATAGACTACATTTTACCTTTGATCTTTTCTAGTAAGTACCCGTGAAACTTCTTTATCGAACCTCTTGATAGATAAAAGAAACACGAATCTCTAGCCTAGATTTGTGAAGTTTCACCCGCGTATATATATATATATATATACATCTATAGAAATTTACAACAATCCAGATCATATCTATATATCACAAATATTACAACACGTGTTTAGAAAAATAAATAATATGTACAAGAATAATCATAATTCAATATTGGCGAATTTTAAAATTCCCAATTGCATTTTTAATGTAATTTTCTAGTATATATTTTTGAATTAAATAAACTATGTTAAAATATTTTTGTTTCTAAAAAAATTTTAATTCAAATATTTTAACAAAATTCAAGAAAAGTAACAAATTTTTTTTTCCTGATTTGCAGGGGAAGGTGAATTCCTACGTCATGAAGTTAAAGGTAAACAAATCATTGTACTCCCCCTCGACTACACAACAAGGAGGCAAGATTTATTCTCATTGAGCACGCGCAATCAATAACCAATAAACCCAATGACTAACTCGCACATTTCGAAAATAGAAGGCTGCTTATAAACTGTAGATAACACCATATAAGGAAAGGTTTTATTGAGTGCAGAAACTGTCGACTTTTTTTTTTTTGCAGAATACAAAGAAGAAGAATAAGAAGAAGGAAGGGAGGGGGGGACCCCAACGATTGCTAGCAAAAGTAACTATCATTGTTATTTTGTCCTCCAGTTTGATATATATAAACTGAAGAAAGAATAATGTGGAATTCTCCTTCTCTCTCTCTCTCTCACTCACTCCTATGACTCTCTGTTTCTCTCTTTTTCTGACTCGAATGCATTTCTCTAAACCGCATACAAAACAAAACCGATGAACCGACATAAATACCAAAGGTATTTCTATTTTGACAAGGCGCATGACGCAACATTAACGGAGTTTCTTGAAATGAAGAAGCATTAACGAATTTTCAAAATTATTTTTTAAAAATATATTATTTTTTAAAAACCTTTTTAATTAATACCAAAAAAATTTATTTTAAAAAATAGTTCAATAGATAATTGAAAACAATTTTCTACGAATTGTGTAATTATGTAGACAGTTGGCATATCTTTCGAAAATAGTTCGATACACGCGTATATATCTAACAGTTAGATTTTACAATAACAAATGCGCAAATGGACTTTCAATTATATATTTTCCTCGAAACATTAAACAAGTCTTTCAGATGACTTCGCGGTAACAAAAAAAAATATGAATAGAAAAGAACAAAACAAAAAAAAAAGAAATAATCCGTTACATGTATAAACGCATATTTAATGATGCCAATCACATGTTCTCGACGAAAAGTGAGTCACAATAGTTTGTCGGAAAAGCACACACATGTATATATATATAAAGATAGACACGTCAAATATTATATGTTTTGATACTGAATGCGATTCGAGCAATATTAAAATTTCATTGTTGTCTCTGTTATGAAATCATAAGTTGGACCACCAAAGTAAAAATAAAACGTCAAAACAAAAAAAATAAAAAACAAAACAAAAAGTAAAAAACAAATAGAAAACAGAAAAAAAATATAAAGTAATGATGTAGATAGGATAGACCACACGCATTATTTTTAAAGATACTGATAATCACGTGGCACACAAAACATTCATTATCAAAAGATAAAAATTAGTTTTTTTTCTCTTCTTTAAATAAAATCTCTATGCAGATGAAAAATTTTAACTTCTTTTGTTAAGTCATGCTTTAAATTACCTCGTGATTTATTATCCCTTGTGCATGAGAAAAAACTGCTTTTGAAAACCCAAAGAAATTCAATTTAGAAAAAAAAAAAACAAAACCATAACACTCTCATTATAATAAGAATATAGATCTTAAATTGCAAAAAAATAACCCTCCAAATCTGAATTAGTAAAAATATTTACTAATTTGAATAAGTGACTCACTTTTTGCTTCTGAATTAGTAAAATTTTACTAATTATTAGTAACTTTTACTAACAAGGAAAATTTAACTAATTCTAAAGCAAAAAGTGAGTCACTTATTTAAATTAGTAAAGATTTTTACTAATTCAGATTTAGAGAGTTTACGAAAAAAAAGGAAAGTTATAAATAAAACTATTTTCGTACTTATACAGAATAAGTACATAAAAGTAAAACAGTATTTTAAGTAAATCAAACAAGGTTCTATTTTAAATATTATATTACATAAAAAAAAAACTTTTAGTGTTTTCGTTTCAAAGTTATATTTATAGCAAGAAAAAAGAAGGTAAAAATGTATAAAAGAAATTTTCAAGCATTTGACATTTTCAAGTTAGTTGTTCTAATTTGATTGCGACAAAGGTCAATAATTTTTATTCTTTTGTCATACAATTGAATCTCATGCAAAAGGTTATCTCTCTCTATCTTTTATTATATACTTCAAAGTGCGTAATAAATGCTTTAGTCTCTACTGTCCCCAAAAAAAATATTAAACAAAAATTACGAAAAGTAAACAAAAAAAGAAAAAGGCTTTTTTTGCAAATTGCGCACCGAAAAAGTAACCTAAAAACAATTTCCTAACCTTTTGAATTTGTTCGACTTCACTGGCAAATCCGAAGTCACCTGAAAGACTTGTAATCCTCTTTCAAAACCAAGACGCGACTCTCTTTCTCTCTCTCTCACCTAAAGCAATCGCCAGTCCGCGTTGCAAATTAATTGAGAAGCCATAAAACGATGTCTCAAGTTCCTAAGAGAAACGACCTGCACACGTCTGCCAAGAACCCGATCGAAACATCATCACTCAACCACGTCATAGAAATTCCCGCATAAAATCAACTTCTTAAACAATGAAAACAAAAAAAAAAACTAACACACCACTTGTCACTATCACCAATATAACTATTTACTCCAAACACGTGTTTTTGCGAAAACAAAAAAAAAACCAAATTCCTTTTTAAGAATTACACAAAATTCCCACCACTTGCTAAACTAAAAAAACCCAAAAAAAAACAACCCCAGGAATATTATTTTTTTTTCCCAAGCAACGTCATTTAAAGATTCTATACCGTTCTGCGTCGCGGAAAGATCCGGTTGGCGCGCAAAATCCGGGAAGGTGGACGCCCTGAGAAATGACGACAGGGCGTTCAAAACTCACATAACCTTATTTTATTTGTGGTCGCGCACTTGGAATCCTTGGAAAAAGTCGTCGCCAAGATCCTTGTAAGGCAATGACTTGCCGCGAGATCAGCCGAGTGTAAACAAGGCAAAGTCATCGTACCGTCCACTTAGTGAATCGTTGGTTGGGAGTTGCCGCGAAAGGGAAACACTCTCTGTATGTATGTATGTGTATGTATGAATGTGGTTTTAGATTTGAGCTTTTTCGATTATTATTACTATTATCTGTATTTCGCTTTTAAGAAATCAAAGTAAAAAGGGAATAAAACAAGACTAAAAAAAAAAAAAAATTTTGAAAAAATATTTCCTTCAGCCAATGCTGAAAAATCCGTCGCGCGTTTGTAAACACAAGAGTATGTGAACACACAACACTACTACTCCATGCTCCGATATATAAGCAAAAACGTATACAACCGTGTTTCTCGCGTGGCGTCTCACGTAGTACTAGTACTACCCAGTGTTCACTGGCTGAGGACTATTCCCGCCGCCAGGGGCGGATCAGTCGTTTTCAATGGGGAGCTTAACAAAAGGGGTTGAAATCGAGGACGCAAGCTATGCTGTTTTTTTTTTTTCCCCCCACATTTTTTAATTAGCAAGATGAAAACGTTCTCTTTTGTTATTAATGATACATGTGTTTTAATTCACATGTAATGTTGGTGAATATAATTAATTATTTATTGATTATTTTGATAATTGTTAATAATATTGTTATATAATTAATTTGAGACTGCAAATTGGAATGTATTGTAAAAGACGAGATCAAATTCAGCAATGCTAATTGTAAATTCAGAAAAAAAGTGCCTTAAAAACGTTGCATTTTAAAGTAAGAGTTTCTTTTTAGTTATTTTCATTCAGAAATTTGAATCAGTGACGAAATAGTTGGAATTTAGCAACTGAATACATTTCAGTAATATTTTCACTTAAATTCAGCGATATTTTGACTTAAATTCAGTGATATTTCGACTGAAATTCAGTCACAACTTAACTGAAATTCAGTTGAATTGTAACAGATTTAAATAGTCAAATCTGCCTTATTATTAATTGGTAAAACAGATGTCACTTTTCAATCAGTTAAGAATTCTACTAATTTTCAGTGAAATTTGACTGAATTTCAGTGGAAACTTTACTATTATGATTCAGTTCCATTGCCAAATGTTTCGTCAATGAAATCTCATTGATTCAAATTTAGAGAGTAAACAGTCTTAAAAGTAAGCCACTTTTAAGCTTAAAATTAGTCTTCACATCTTAAAATTTAACACAACAACTTAAAACCATTTTGACTTAAAAGTAGTATAATCAGCCTTGAACTAAATTTAGACTAAATAGACTGAAAGTAAGATTTGCACTCTTGAAATTTGAATCAGGGAAATTTAGCTGATAAAGTAGTTGAAATTTAGCTACTGAATCAATTCAGTAACATTTTCCTAAAATTAATGTGACATTTTAACTGAAATTGAGTAATATTTTGACTGAAATTCAATAACATTTTGACTGAAATTCAGTCACATTTTACTGAAAGTCTAATAGAATTACTGTCACTTTTTTAATCAGTGAAGAATTCTACTAATTTTCAGTGAAATATAACTGAATTTCAGTGTAAATTTAACTAAAATGATTCAGTTCCAATTTCCAAATGTTTCGTCAATGAAATCTCATTGATTCAAATTTAGAGAGTAAACAGTCTTAAAAGTAAGCCACTTTTAAGCTTAAAATTAGTTTTCACATCTTAAAATTAAACACAACAACTTAAAACCATTTTGAATTAAAAGTAGTATAATTTTTAGCTTAAAATCAGCCTTGAACTAAATTTAGACTAAATTGACTGAAAGTAAGATTTGTACTCTCGAAATTTGAATCAGGGAAATTTAGCTGATAAAAAGTAGTTGAAATTTAGCTACTGAATCAATTCAGTAACATTTTCCTAAAATTAATGTGACATTTTGACTGAAATTTAATAATATTTTGACTGAAATTCAATAACATTTTGACTGAAATTCAGTCACATTTTACTAAAAGTCAAATAGAATTACTGTCACTTTTTTAATCAGTGAAGAATTCTACAAAATTTTCAGTGAAATATAACTGAATTTCAGTGTAAATTTAACTAAAATGATTCAGTTCCAATTTCCAACTATTTCCTTCATAAAATCACAAAGATTCAGTCGATTTTTAAGCTAACGCAACTAGTTTCAGACAAAACTAGACCTTAAAATAAAATTTAAAGAAAATACATATAAATTTTGAGACATACACTTCCGGTTGATAATATTATTTAGACACTTATCGAAAGTTATGACGCCTTATATATATACATAGAGCTTCAATGAAATCATTCATATTATTCTATTATGTTGTGAAAAGTAATCTTTTGAAGTGTAACTTTAAAGACGGATAAAATTTAATTGAATTTTATAAATCACAGTGGAAAATTGCGCGTCGATCCTTTTCCCGATGGTATGAGACAGATATCCAATTAATTCTCGGACTTCATTAAATTGAGTGGCTCTATCATCTATACGCTTGTTCCACCAAGTTGGCTATTCATTTTTTCTTTTTTTTTTTTGAATTTTTTTATCCCCCTTCTTTTTTATACTCTTCAAATTAACAATATTTACTCTATTTCGCCTCAAATTTAATTAATTAATTAATTACAAATTCTTGATAAACATTCATTCTCTCTGGGACATAAATTTCTCTTATTATTATTATTATTGTTATTATTTTCCGAGCAATTGTTATTATATCACATATTTATAACTCAATGATAATTATACACAAATCTATTTCACTAACATATAGAATATTTTTTATATTAACTAATTGCAAAATTAAATTAAATAAATTGTTTTTTAACGAACTGTAAATAAAAATAAACAAATGAGCAAAAATAAATCTCGAATCAAAATAAATTTTTTTTGTATTTTTAACAAACATTTTGAAATACACTTGAGGCTAACATATTCAGTATCATATGCAGTAATTATCAAACTTTGACAATATATTCATTATAGATATAAGCCTAAATTTGGTTTCTAATTAATTTTCTTAAGTATTCTCTAGCGACTCGAAGCTCTCTGTATATATATATATATGTAAGTAAAGAGTCTAATATCCTAAATACTATTCGTCCTAAATACTAAAAATATTATTTTTAAAAATACTAATTCAAAAAAACATTCCAATTTGCAATCAAATTATTCATAACAAAATAATTACTAATTTCAATTGTCCGCTAATTAGTTATTAAAAGTTGATTAAAAAAATAAGAATACAAAAATAATATAACTTTTCTCTACACATTGCGGGGGATATATATGTCGAGGATTTGATTAAGTGTCTAGTAATGAAATCCAAAGCCTCAATTATGTTGGATAAATCGAATTTAGGGTCTTCGATTTCGAGAGAGTATATATATATAGATAGTTTGCTAATAGCAATATACATCTATGTATGTATATGTATATATGTGTGTGCGGAAAAAAGGTCAATTTTTTAAATTGGGCATGCGCAGAGAATTTTACACATTGTAGATGAGTAGAAACGTATGTTACTAGGACAAATGTGTCCTAGCTTTACGTTTGCGACGTATTCGCTGATAGGAGTACGAGTCATGAAAAAGGATCACAGTTTCACTCACACACACACACATATACAAACTCTCTTTAAAATGTGAAACGTTCAACGACGCGTGCGCGAAGCTTTTCTTCATTACTCTCACACATACATTTCTTTTGGCAGAGCTCTATGACGTCACGTGACGTCACACAAAACACTCCAGGCCCTGGACCATCAATCGATTCTTACGATCTGAGCCTAAAACATCCACTGCATTGAGAAATAATTTAAAAAAAAAAAAAAAAAAAAACTAATTAATAAATCATTCTAATGAGATTGAAAAAAAAGATTGCCTGTTTCCTAGGTATTAAATTTCGTAATTGGTAAAGTGCTTTGTCATTAGAAGTAGCAAAGTTTGAACAACAGAGGGTTGGTTAACTGCAATCACTAATTTAAATTGACTATAAAGTATGTAAAATACATGGTATAAAAGCAATACGATATTTAGAGAGAAGGAGAGAAAGAGAGAGAGAGAGAAAGAGAGGCCTCTATATACACAAACTTTCAAAATCTAATTATCAAAATGTTTCCAACAATAATAATGTTTTTCCATAAAGTTTCAAATTGAATGGCGGATATATTAAATTTAATACACGCTAAAATCCCTGATAAGTTGTAAGATCAAAGTAAATCCTTCAATATTCGAGTTAAAGAGGTTTCAATTTAACGAGATTATATATAAGATATAGACTGAAAATTATGCGATAGATATTAGAAGATACTACCGCATACTTGTCTGACAATCATTGACTTTTGTCACTTAAAGAGTTGTGACATTTTTTTTTTTTTTTTTTTTTTTTTGCAGTAAAAACTTCCTTTATTCAATATTTCATTTCTCATTTATATTCTTTGTATAGGGAAATTATATTATTTTATCGACAAACTTTTTTACAAATTCAATCAATATATATTTCCAGTATTGAAAAGCAATATTGTGTTATTTTAAGGAAACTATTTTACTTGTCATAAAAATCAAAGTTAACCTAAATATTTTTTTTTTTTTTGAATAATTGAATATCTTATATATACATATGTATTTTTTATATTTATAATCTCATTAATTATTCAATTTATTATAACTTCATTGTCGTAATATACGTTACAGAAATATAAATACCGTTGATGTTAAAGAAACGAAAACTATTTCAAAAGTTAATATTTCCTCTTCGAAAAAATTGACTACCGCGCCAGTACTGTGCCAGTACTGAAAACTGGTAATTTTTTGGTTAAAACAAAAATTGTGAAAACGAAATAATAGGTTACTTGAATGAAGAAAAATGGAAAATAAATAAAATAAATTTTACTATTTTAAAAATAAAATCTGAACTATCCGAAGTTTCTGCGCATTTCTGGGAATTTTTACTCCAAAAATAGTAAATTTTTACTATTTCCAGAATAATTTTTACTATTTCAGTTAGTAAATTTTACTATTTTCGGAGTAAAAATTACCACTCTCTAAATCTAAATTAGTAAAAATGTTTACTAATTTGAATTAGTGACTCACTTTTTGCTTTAGAATTAGTTAAATTTTACTAATTGTTATTAAAAGTTTTTAATAATTAGTAAAATTTTACTAATTGTTATTAAAAGTTACTAATAATTAGTAAAATTTTACTAATTCAGAAGCAAAAAGTGAGTCACTAATTCAAATTAGTAAACATTTTTACTAATTCAGATTTAGAGAGCAGAAATGTGCAGAAATTCTAATGGAAATTCTCACTGAGGCTAAAATCGTCATTTTTTCCCCAAAAAAAAAATCTTTACTTGAAAGATAAGTTTCACTGGAATAGAGCAATGTTTCACTATAACAACGAAAGTTTTTCCTATTCTAAAGAAACA